TGTTGTACAGCGCGGTTCAGTTGCTCAGCCTGGCCGTTGGCCTCTGGGTGATTCCCAGAAGTCATTTGCAACTGAGTGCCCTGCTCTGCAGCAGCGGCCTTCCACAACTCGCTGGTAAACCTGACATCCCTGTCACTAACAATGGACTTCGGTAGACCAAAGTCCCTGACCCAGTTCTCTTTAAACATTCTAATCACGTACTCCGTCTTTGCTGTTTCTGGCATGGCTACTAACCTAGCATACTAAATCTATCCACGATGACGAAGATGTGACGCATTCCACTCTTGCTGGTAATCAGAGTATCCATGAAATCCATGGACAGACTCTCACCAGGCCGTTCCGGAATCGGAAGGGGCTTCAGAAGCCCAAGAGGAGCCTGAGTACGTGGCTTGTCCCGTTGACAAACTTGACAAGTCTCCACGTACAGCTGCGCATCTCGCATCATCGTGGTCCACCAGAACCGCTGCAGCAAGTTGGTTGTGGTCTTCTTATACCCAAAATGGCCGGTGGCATCATGACATTCGCCTAAAAACAAACTACGCAAAGACTCGCTATTTGGAACACACAAGCGTTTATTCCCTGCCTTCTCTAGGAACAGCAAGCCATTGACCAACTCAAACTCGGCGGAAGTCTTCTTATCCTTCGCCTCAAGTCTGCGTATGATCTCAGACATAAACTGGTCCTCGCGATAGGCTTTCACCAACGACTGAGTAACATTGTCCGTCAGATCGAACTCAGTAATCAGCGCACCTGAGAAGTCCGGTCTGCGCGACAAGGCATCAGCAACCTTGTTGTACTCCCCTTTTAGATACTGAGGGTCAAAGTCATATTGCTCAATGACTTCGATCCAAAGCTTGAGAGCGTCAGAGAGTACCGGCTGGGTTCTCATCCATCTCAGGGTCTGATGATCAGTCCTTCTCCCAAGGAGATAGTGTCTCCAATGGGTGAGTGCCTTGTACACCGCATAGAGTTCCTTCTCATAAGTGGATTTAGCCAACTTCTGAGACGGCATTTTCTTGGACATGTACTCTACTGGCCTCAACTTTGGCCCCTCCTGCTGCGCAAGCACGGCGCCAATGCCATATTGGCTGGCATCCGTGGTGACTATGAACGGCTTGTCAGGATCAGGAAGTTTCAAGACTTCATAGTGCGTCAACGCATGCTTCAGGTGTTTGAAAGCAGCCTCGCACTTCTCTGTCCACTCCCATGGGGTGTCAAGGCGGGTCAGATCAGTCAAAGGAGCGGCCACTATGCTATAGTTCTTAAAGAAAGTCCTATAGTAGCCTGTCATTCCTAAGAAAGATCTCATCTCAGTCACAGAGTGAGGACGTGGCCAATCACGAATGCTGGTCACTTTCGCTTTATCGGGCTTCAACCCTTCCGCGGAGATCTCATAACCCAAGTACAAGACACGGGTGCGGCCAAACTCGCATTTCTCACCGTAGATCTTGAACTTGTGCTGTCGAAGGAGACTAAGGACTTTGTCCAAATGTGCAACGTGCTCCTCGACAGTCTTACTAAAAATAAGTATGTCATCGAGGTACACGACGACAAACTTATCCAAGTAGTCATGGAATATCCGATTCATAGCGTGCTGAAAGGTGCCAGGAGCATTGCAAAGGCCGAAAGGCATCACCACAAACTCGTACAGACCGTACCTGGTCTGAAAAGCGGTTTTGTGTTGATCCTCGGGCCGGATTGCAATCTGATGGTACCCGGACTTCAGATCTATCTTACTGAAGTACCGACACCCTTGCACTCTATCTAACAGATCATCGATGCGCGGTAGGGGCTCTCTGTTCTTTACGGTGATGGCATTGAGGCCCCTATAGTCAATGCACATCCTAAGAGTACCCTCCTTCTTCTTAGGCACAAATAGAACTGGAGACCCATAAGGAGAGAGACTCGGCCGGATCCAACCCTTCTCTACGAGTTCCTTGAGTTGGCGGCGAAGCTCATTAAGCTCACCTGGAGACATCCGATAGATCCTACCCTTCGGAATACTAGACCCTGGGATAATCTCTATCACGTGGACGACCTCTCTCTCAACACCCCCAGTCGACTCTTCAAATAGATCAGGGTACTTAGCAACTACTCCCTCTATCTCCGGCGGCATTTTCACCGGCTCGCCTGCAGCAGAGACATAAACAAAGTACATACCCTCCTCCTGATTTTGCTTATAATAATTATAAAACGCGGCCGCACACATGCACCCGTAGGACTCGACCAGACTACTAGCTTTGAACTTGTGTAATCTGGCGGTCCCTCCACCTGGCAAAGTGTGTTTGACCACTTTTCGGTCCCAGTCAAACTGGGGTTGTGCCGCAGAGAGGTAGTACATACCTAACAACATGTCCATGGGGAGTTCATCGCTCACTAGGAACGAGACACGATGTCTCAAGTCCCCTCCCGCGTACGGGAAACAACACTCTACATCCTGGAGGTAGTCGTTAACTACCATGCGCTGTTTGTTGGCACAGGTCGACTCCACAGGTCGACTCAGGCGTTGCACTCGCCCCTGTAAGCGCAATCTCTCAACGCACGCGCGACTAATAAAGTTTCGCGTCGAGCAAGTGTCATAATAGGCCCCGGCCTTGCGGCCGCCAATGACTACCTCGATGACGAACATCTCTCCCTTTGGGGCTTTGACAAGTGTCGTCCAAGAAGCTAGCGGGTCTAATCTAGACCACTCAACCTCTAACTCCTCTAAGGACTCAAACACATTCATCGAACAGAGGCTCGATGGGTCCGAATGTGCTTGTGGGACGACGCTGGAGTCAGTAGTTTGGGCCATCTCTCGAGATGGTGAGGGTGTCTCCACCATCTCGACCCTAGTAGGAACAGCTACAATTCCTACTGGCCCGACGTGTTTCCCGGAGCACTGCCTGAAGAACTAGCAACATTGCTACCAACGGGATGCGAGGATCCTACCGCCCATCGTAGGCGGGATCTTTTCCGTCACCTTCTTGTTGCGGCACTTGAATTGGCTATGGCCATATTGACCACAACGTATACAGGCCTGCCGAGAGTAACGATCTCTCCACACGTCCTCTGTGAGACCCGCTTTCTCCCATGGAGGAGCATTGGGGTCAACTTGACTCCTAGACCGGGAGCCTCCGCGGCGTCTAACCTTTTTGAGCGACGGCAGCAACTACTCCACCCTCTGAAGCATCTATGTTGCCTGCCTCTGAACCTACTCCCTCCTGGAAGTTGTCGTCCAATTCGATGGTTGAACCATCGTTGTCGACAAACATGATGCGACCCTTCGCCTTCCAGTTGGGAGGCAGTGTCTTCTTTCTCCCCTCCGTAGTGGGTGCCTGTCCATGCCCTATCTTTGCCTCAAGGTCTAGGGCTACCTTGCTAAACGAAGGAAAGTTGTGCATATTGATGTTGGCCTTTTTTGCCAACTAACTCCTCAGAGGCTGAGAAAAGCATCTCAGGTACGAAGTCAACAGGACCTGGGGGTCATAGCGCACCCCAGGGACACAGATCAGACGCTCAACAGCGTCGGTGGCTTCCCTTACTGTCTTAAACTGCCGCGTGTGCAGTGTCAGGATCGCGTCAGTGGCCCTTTGAGCCTCCTGAGGATCATGCCACCTCTCTTCCACCATCTTCAGGAAGTCTTCCAATTTCTGGGAGGCTGCCCAAGCGCGGAAGTCATGACCATATCCCGGAGGCAGCCACAAACACTTCTTCGTGCAGCAAGGTGAGTTTGCACCTGACGTAGACCGGCACTGCCCTCAACCATGTGTCGAGGTCCTCGCCTCTCTTGTCCCCGTAAAAGGTTTGGGAGAGGCGATGGCCGTCTTCGGAACCCACTGTGTCTGTCCCGGTCCCTGCATCATGCCAGGCTGTGGACCCGGTGAAACAGGTTGTTGTGCTAGCTGCTGGGGCTGTGTGCCCTGAGGCTGCACTAACTGCGAGACAGCAGGCTGCACGGTGGCTGCAACCTGTGACGGACTTGGAGTAAACATTGTCTGTACAGGAACCTGTAAACTACTCCCTGTTGTTACCCCTCCTGACAGCGGCATGCCTAGGGAAACGATAGCAACCGTTGACGGGGCTACATATGGGGATACCCCAGTCACCGGTGGGACAGAGAAGGGAGGATATGGCACGGGCCAGGCACCAGGCCCGGCTGGTGATGGTGTTGCCTGAGCACGGCCTGACAGAACGGCCAGGCTCTGTTGAATGTCCTGAAGGATGGTAGTTTGGTGCTCCTGCATCTCTATAACCCCTAGCAGGGCCTTCCTAACTACCCTCACATCATCATCCATATGCGTCAGGTCCATCATTTCTAACTCCTCTATGTCTGCCTCTCTTCGCTGCATCCTGGCTCTTCTCCTGATCATCTTTTCTTTCTCCGCTTTTATCTCCCCTAATGCCCGTTGTAGTTGTGCCTCCTGCAGGGCTGCCTGCTGGATGGCGACATCCTCTGGAATCAACACCGCTGCCTGGCTTGCCATTAGGCCAGTGGACTGACTCACGGTCTGCGCGACCGTTGACCCGACAGCACCTGAATTACCGGCTTGGGAAGTCTGCTGCGCAGAAGTGGACATGGYTGTAGTAGCCATGGCTKCTGTAGCACCGGCCTCACTAATTAAAGTCCGGCTGGCCTCGGCTGCTCTAGCCCTCCTCTGTGCCTGCTGTCTCTCCCTCTGCTGGCGGAACAGATGTCTATCACCCTCCGGTCCTAAAGACACGTGGGGTACCGGGCCCCTAGCCGATCGCAAGGTCCTGCGGTCGTCCTCTCCGGTGTTCTCCTCGTCGCTCATAGGCTACAGTGCTGTGCACTGTCTACACTAGAACATTCAAGATGTCTACCACAGCATAGTGCACGGACCGACTAATTAATTGGTGGCTACCTCGTAGTAGATATCACTTGAGGTCAACAGGTAAGTCAGATTCCTACAACTGAAACTATTTTTAGTCTGACTAGTCCACGAACAGAAACATCAAGAACAATCAACAGTTCTAACTAATGATGTCTGTCAAATGTCAATGGCAGTCCATCTAACTAATCAAAACATAAAAATAGAATCACTTGTGTGTATAGGACAGCATGGCATTTTCTCGAACTTGTCACCTGGAATCAACCCTTCCCTTAATTCCCCTGAGTATCTCCTGACGTCAGCGTCCCTGAGCAATCTGGAGGGCAATGCGTGTCTAAAGGTGTGTGTCCGGCCCACCCCTGTGCCCCGAGCATCCACTGAGACGGCCAGCCTTGCACGTATATTTATCCTCGGCGTGCCGCGAGCCTTCCAACCATTGACTGATCCAGGGGCAATTTGGCGTCCGCCCCCAAGTGACTCCAGGAATTATTTTACGTCGCAGCCGGACGACGATCACAGTCAATGGTTCCCCTTCCCGTGTTTGTTTATAGACGTCGGGTGCTCGTCTTTCCTGTAGGGCTGGCCTGCCCAGTAGAACCCATCTAACAGCGTAGCAAGCCGAACAAAGGACAAGCAGCTTAGGCATGCGTGCTCTACTCCCTGTGGGTTGGCATGGTGACCGTGACCCAGTGCTTCGTTCAGGGCCCTTCAGAAAGCTTTGCCCATCTCCACCCAGATGCTCCGCAAGAACATTGCCGACTCTCAAGGTTGAGCGCACTCGACACCTCACGATGAGAGGACTCTCAAGAAGGAACACAACCTCACGGTAAGAAGTGTTGGAGAGGGAAGATAAGGTTAAGAGCAACGTACCTCATTTAGCTGCCCCCAACTACAGAGATAATCTCACCAGATGACCAAATGGCGATTGCGATGACCAGTCACTGCATCGGCACAACCAGCATTATTCATTGTTCCACCTCAGCATCAATCGCACATTAGATAGTTCTCATCACACTGTCCAGACCACATTCACCTCCCGTAGCCTTCCTGGCGATTCCCCTCACCTCCTGGGTCGCCACACACTCGTCTCCACCCTCCTCACTACACACCACTTACGGCCAAACTCGCCCAGCAGACCGCATGTATGTACCGCATAAGGCAGAAGACAAGCGCCAGATGAGCGCAATCGAACCACAGCTCTGATACCAAATTGCAAGGGAGATGAGTACTAGCGAACTCCAGCAATCAAACGGCATCATACATATGAGACCAGATAGTCTTGACCTCGAACCAACAGCAGAATTGCATCACGAGATACACCAAATAAGAACACACCAAGAGTTCATAATTGACAATGCTGAAGTAGTCCCATCATCATCAACGAAGAACCAGAGTTGATATCCTATTGGCGCTCGGCGCCCAGACTACATGTGGCAGATCCTATCTAGCCTATACTACGAAGCCGAAAGATGACATCAACAGCGTTCCCGAAGTACGAGCATATGGCGACCAATGTCGCACGCTTCAGCACCAGGTATGTCTCACGCTACACTCACAACCTTGTTCCCCAACTCACAGATGCCACTAGCACCCAAGGACCACCCTGCGCTTCACCCAGCATACAGCAACGCAGCTCGGCTATGGCTGCGTACTCCTTCCCTGCTAGCCCGTGAGAGCGTAGGCGCCAGCCAGCAAATAGCGCAGCAGCAGCGCTTGCGCAGCATGCAGCCAGCACCCGAATGCCGAATGAGGAGGCAGGCCCTTCCCTATATCGAAGTGGCCTGCCTGCGTCCAGTCCAGGAAGCTTCCAGTAGGCCCCGGTAGCCTGAGGCCCAGTCACGAGGAGAGCAGGCCTTGGGCCTGAAGTGGTTGCATGTGCCCAACTGCTTTCGGCCTGTGTTTGGCCCTGTACCCGTATCCAGCCTAGGGCCTGCTTCACGTACATTCACACAGGCGGCCCAGGGCCTGGGTTCACTCAACCAACTGGCGCTGCGCAACTGCCTGAATTTCCCTGAGTTGCGTGGTGGCCAGAAAAGGGCCCTGAGGGCCTCGTCGAGCCTGCCTTCACTTAGGGCGGCCGACGGGCTCCAAAATGGGGGCCTTATGGGCCTCTTAGAGGCAGTGGCCTCGCACCTGGTATTGGCGATGGTCTGCATGGGCGACAGCTTCAAGTACTTCGGAGGCTGCTGATGTCAACAGTTGCATTGTCAATTAGTAGGCTAGTAGTAGCTGTGTAGGGAGTAGGCTGGGCGCCGAGCGCCAAGCAGGGAGATAGGGACTGGATACATATGTTGGTGGTGGCGAGAGCAAGCTCTCATTGACATTGGTTTTCAGTACTACGATTCTTCATTGGTGTCATATTGGTGCAATCCTGCTTTCTGAACACTGTGATACAAACTGGCTTTCAATGTGATTGTGCAATCTGAATATTGTCATCTCGCTTCTGTTCATTTTCCTTGCACTACGCAACGATGCACTCTTCGATTTTCCCGTTTCGTGAGTATTGGGGTGAGTCTTCTGTTCGTGAAATAATGGCAAGGATTATTTTTTAAAAAGCGAAAAGGAATTCCTCTCCGTATCTTCACAGCTTCAGAGGATACCCGGTGGGCCAGTGTCCATTTCTTTGATGCCAGTCCACTGACAGAATGCATAGGAGCCCGTTTCTTCGCCATCGCACGCTGAAAGTATGGTGCTTTCCGGATTCTCCGCTCACAGCAATCAGTGATTTTTTTATGAAGTGGGCCCATGAGATGTTTTCATATGGAGATGAAGCTTAAAAATATTCCAAACATATAACGTTTATTACAACCCATACTTGCAAGCGCACGCTGTGCAGGCTATTGCGCATGTGCAGCACACGGGACCCGCCCTAGGCCTTCCCCCGACCTCTATGGACTTGACCCACGACCTAGAGACTGACTGGGGGCCTGTTCCATGTGGATTTTCTGACCATGTTTTCCCACGGAACATTCCCCGTTTTCCATGCAAACTGTATTGCTGATTCTATACACCATAATGGCAATGTCACATCAAGACTCACATGGAATAT